TCATCCAACAGATATCCAGTCAAAAGTTATTCCTGTTGCGTTGCGGGGTAAAGACATCATTGGCTTAGCTGAAACTGGAAGCGGCAAAACCGGGGCCTTTGCCATACCAATTCTCCAGGTATACGTGTATCCTTTTAATAGTTTTTCAGGGCCTATTGAAGAAACCCCATTATAATTACTCCCTTATTTTGGCACCAACACGGGAACTTGCTCTTCAAATAAGGCAGCATTTTCTGGATTTGGGTTCAAAATTTGGACTAAAAGTACTTTGCCTTGTCGGCGGTCAGCACGTTGAAGATCAGTATAAGTCTTTGAAGACTGAAAAACACCATATTATTGTCGGAACTCCTGGAAGAATAGCTTACCATATTGAAAATTCAAAGGAATTACTTCTTCACCGAGTACGTTTCTTTGTTTTGGATGAAGCTGATCGAATGCTTGGGGGTGATTTCGATTCACAGTTGGAAAGTATTTTGTCAAAGTTGTCAGAGAAACGTAAAAGTTTCCTCTTTTCCGCAACAATGACTGGGAATGTAAGTCTGTCATTACACCCGGCTGACTTTGTAGCTTGAAAAAGTACAAGCTGCATGCCTTCGGATGCCTGTGCGTTTGGAAACCGCAAAAAAATATACCACTGTTGATAACCTAGACCATGCTTTTGTATTCCTACCGGATCAGCGGAAAGATGCTTACGTTGTGAAGCTGCTAGTTGACCTTGGTGGGAGTGTAAGTCCGGATTTGGTCGTAGCGGGTTTTAAAATAATTGTCTGCAAATAATTCTTTGCATACACCAAATTTCAAATCCTCATCCTCTATCAATCTTGTCATTTTGTTTTCTCCTTCAGACTTCCTGTGAGTCAAGAACAGTTATTTTCGTTTCTACGGCTCGAGAATCGCTTCGCCTTGGCGAAATTCTTAAGACCATGATTGGCAGGGACCGTGTCGTCATTTTGAATGGATTAATGCGTCAAGATAAACGAGGAGCTGCACTTCAGAAATTTAAGTCCGGCGAAGCCACCATTATGGTTGCCACTGATTTAGCCTCCAGGTATTCATTAGACTTGCCAATATCCTTAGGCATTCGTTCATCACAACGATGAGATTCATTTGTTTAGAGGTCTTGATATACCCGAGGTGCAATTGGTTATCAACTATGATATTCCAAGCCATCCTGCATCATGGAGCGAGGCTGCAAAGGCCTACATTCACCGAGTGGGTCGAACGGCGCGAGCTGGACGTCCAGGTCGGGCTGTATCTCTTGTTACTCCCTACTCTGTCACACGTCTAAAGATTATTGAGTCGACTCTGGGTTCTCAGATTGCTCAGCTGGCGTGGGTTGATCCTTGCGACTCAGATCCCAATCTGCTTAGTAAAGTCGAAGAAGCCGCTGCTCATGCTAAGGCGGTGAGTTTACGAGTCCACTCTGGTGATATTGATGGAAAAAACTTCTTTTTGCTACAGGCTTTTCATTCTATGGTGTTCACAGATTTAACCTGCTAAATTTTCATTTGGAAGGTTTTC